TCATGTCATGTCGTTACAAGCCCGTAAGACCTTTTTTTTTTTTTTTAAAGATTATAATTTTAAAATCTCCCATAGACTGGAAAATTCACTGTACAACAGACACTGTACAATATTCATTGTGCACTAACTGTGCACAAAGAGTTGACTGCTGCCTTTTATGTCACAGCTCAGGACAGTATGATTTAAAGTATTCATTTGTCTGCATTCAACATGCTTCAAAAAAGCATTTTTAATAAAATTGAATACAGACAACGCTGATGATGTAAGACACTACTGAGGTGTTCTACGGTTTCTGGTTAACTGCGGACAGAACCAGAAGACAATAAAGTTGTAGTTTTTGTTATTTTTTGAACCAAAATGTATTTTTTATGCAAAACATTCTAACTAACCCACTGATGTCACATGGACTACTTTGGTGATGTCTTCATTTCCTTTCTGGACAAGGACAGTATAAAGTACACATTTTTAATGGAGGGATAGAAAACTTTCGGACTAAATCTAAAATATCTTAAACTGTGTTCTGAAGATGAACCGAGATCTTACGGGCTTGGAACAACATGAGGGTGAGTCATTAATGACATTTTGGTGAACTAACCCTTTAAGTCCTATTTAAGTGGATCGAAAAGCACTCAAGTTTGACTAATTATATTTAATATTTAAACTATAATATGTTTTTATTTAATTGTAAATAACATGCAGTTAAGTGTCTGAAAACATTACATTTAATTTGCGCTTACAGTAAAGTAGACCTATATTATTTTTGCAGCAATTTGCTACTTTCTTTTTTTTTAATGATGCTAGTCCTTTATCACAAGACAGCAATGGCTAATATATCAAGTTTCCACAAAAAGTGTCTAATATTTTTTTTTTTAAATGTGTATTTATTTATTTGGTATAGTGACTGTAGTTAAGTTCACATTTCAATGAAATGCTTTTTTGAAGCATGTTGAATACAGACAATAAATGAATACTTTAAATCTCACTATCCTGAGCTGTGACATAAAAGGCAGCAGTCAACTCTTTGTGCACAGTTTATTGTGCACAATGAATATTGTTCAGTGTCTGTTGTACAGTGAATTTTCCAGTCTATGGGAGATTTTAAAATTATAATTTCAAAAAATAAAACACTGTAAAACCTATGTTAAGTGGTTCAAGCTGAATTAAGCAAATGCCTTGTCTGCCTGAATGCTTGTTTGTTGTTTCAAAATGACAGCCACCCACTGCAGAGAAGCTGTTTGAATGATTGTTGATGACCTAAAATTATGAATCACACTGGATAGTGTTTTCATGCTTTCACAAAAGACACTAATTGGTTTAAACCTGTTGCTGACACAGTATTTGTATACGTTTAAAGCAGCCGAAGAGAAACAGAACAGCTGCAATTCTTTTATAAGGGTAGGGCCTACTTCAATTTGCTTTTAGTATCAGTGAGATGACATAAGCAGCTTCTTCTTCTGTGTGTGTGTGTGTGTGTGTGTGTGTGTAAGAACAGTTTGGCCAGTCATGTTTGATCAGCTGGCTACTGGGATGTCTTTCCCTCCTGTAGTGCATGCTAGCTTGTCTCTGTAACAGGATGTAACATGGGGTATGGAGGTGGTATCTAAATCACTCGGTTGAAATTGTACAATACTGCCATATTGAATGACTTGTTTATGTTATATCATTATAATTAACCGACATAATCCTGGTTTCACAGACAGGGTTTAAACCAGGATTATGCATTAGTTAAATGATGATATTTAAGTAGCTTTCGGTGTAATATAAGCTACTACAATATATTATATCTTCATTTTTTTTAAAATATAATTAGAGTTAATAAAATATTACAATATACTAATATAAACAGAGCCTATATAGGCTACACCCCTATATTAAAATAAAACCAAATAAAATTAAACCAAAAATAAATAAATAAATAAATAAATAAAACATTCAATATGTTATCTGTTTACCTGCATGTCCTCTTGTGACCGTTCCCAACTTCAGAAAACATTAACATGCGAATGTGTGTGGAATTATTGAAATATTTGATCGTTCGGTTGACAAAAACAAAAACGGACCGTAACAAAAGAACAAGCAAGCGCTCAGAGTTCTGTTGCTTGTAGACATAGAAGCCTGTCGATCGCCCCCTGGAGGAGAAAGAACGAATGACGGGGTTGAGCTGTCCTTCGCCACAGCATAAGCACACAAAAGCCAGAGAAAAAGCTAAAAAAAAAAAACATTTAAAACAATTTAATATAAAAGGATAAAGGAACAAACGTGTTTTCGAGCTAGAAGTAAATTATTGAAGATAAAGCAAAAGCTTACAGCACCTGCGAGCTTTAAACCAAACAGATCTTGTTTACTTGTGTTTTCATGCATTACCTTTAAATGAAAAAAATTCTGGGTGAAAAATAAAAGTTGTAAAAGTATTTCAAGTATTTTGGAGTCTCTATATGCTTGGTTTTCAGAAGGGGCAGGATAGTGTCAAAAAAATTATAAAATAAAAAGACATATCAAAGCAATTACAAGTCCGTGTTTCTTCACTGCCACTACCAGAGGTGTGAATACACCCCACTGTGTGCTGGCTGTAGCCCCTGGGTAGTCACAAAAATGTGAGAGTGCACTACATTACACCCTTAATTCAGCACAAAAATGTAAGAATTTGCACACTTTTCCACTTGACTATAAGAATTTCATCAGCTACATCAACTGATACTATGCAAATAATAAACAAAACATTCAGCAGACTAGTGGAGTTCAATAAACTAGGCTGTGTACATGACAATTTCTGTAAATAACACTTCAGGACGTTGACCACCAGATGGCATCATCCATTTTGATCATTTTCAATCGATCCCAGGGTCAAGGAATATGTACTTGCAGGGGTCATGAGCCATTCCCAGGCGGTCTCCCATCCAAGTACTAACCAGGCCCGACCCTGCTTAGCTTCCGAGATCGGACGAGATCGGGCGTGTTCAGGGTGGCATGGCCGTAAGCGAGAGACAAAGCCGATAGAGAGGAATTTAAAGAAAGGATACCTGGGCCCGTGTTCACATATGTCCCACCCGAGCTTATTGAACACAAGTGATTAATTAAGAAAACTCATTGGGTTTTTTCATTAATATTATAGCCTCAAATAAAGTGTTATTTAAATATAGTCCATTCTTTTTAAGATTTGAAGTACTACAAGGCCTAATTGTAGCCTACACTGTTAACAAAAAATATATATATTAAATGGCACTTTCAGGAGAGTTTTGTGTAAAGAAATATTGAAATAAAGTAGGTCTAGCAACTCTTATATTTCCATAATTCACACAGAACAGACACAAATATGCTGACTGAATAGATTGCTATGAACACTGCTTTAATGTTTTTATGATGACTTTGTGATTTGGCAAGTAACACAAAATAAGTTCAAAGCTTGTGTTTTGGAAGTAAGATATATCACTAACCCAACATGCAACTTTCCACTTTGATAACTTTCTAAAGTGTCACATTAAACCAGAAAAACAGGTCCAGAAGACTACAACTGCCACCTTTCCATTAGGTGGATCTGGCAACACCGAGGCTGTACCTGCGCCTTCGTTCACAATGCGCTCTCAAGCCCTGTTCACTGTGCTAGCTTCTCTCAGCAACATGAATTGCTAACACTTATATGAGTTGGTTTAAATGGCTAATTAATCATCCAGAGATCATTCAGAGGTGAATGTAAAAAAAAAAAAAAAAAAAAAAAAAAAAAAAAAAGACCGGTGCAGTGACCTCATAGCCGGCTACGGCCATATGGCCCAGATGCGGCCCACATCTGGTACGGCTGGAATCCACATGTATCGGATCCGGGGATATTCTAACCCCCTTCTTGAACTTCTGCAATGAACAAAACTGATAGTCAGGATTAATTTACTATTTAGCCTCATGCTGTTAACCAGGTTCCTGTGGTGAGGAAATGGATATATCTGCTTTTAACAGGTGAGTGGTAGTTAACCTATAAATGGTTTGTTAGGTGTTCTGGCAGCTTTGCAAATTGTAAAGATGTTAGAGGCATTTGCATTTGAAGAGGCACAAGAGTTCTGTTCAGTATCAGCACAGCTGTGATTCGACTGTGGTGGCCTAGGCTAGGGTTCTGGTCTAGCCTGTCAGAAACTTGGACAGCATGGTGATTAAACACATCATCCAATCAAATTTAGAGGACAATTTTAAGAATTGGAAGAAAGTAGTTTATTCACAATAATTAAGAGCTCAACTTGCTTTAGAATACACTTGTTTTCATCCAATTATTTGGTGTGCAGTTTTCAACCCAGCCACACGTGCTACTGCTCGTCTTCTGAGGAACTCTGGGTTCTATTAGTATAGCCTGACATGGGCGGACCTTTATTGCGCGATCTGCTGCCCTCTGCTGTTCGAAAAAGGAAGAGTCATGAAAACTGTTCTGATATTTACGACCGACCTTATTCATTAAAAAAAAAAAAAAAAAAAAAAAAAAAAAAAAGTTGTTTAAAGCTCCCAGATCCCTTACAATTTCCCACAGCTCTTTAGTCACTTTTTTATTTTTTTGGTTCTAAATTGAGAATGCAAAAATGATGGAAATGAGAATGAGAAAATTAAATAAATTAAAAATAAAATAAAGGAATAAAATAGGCCCTCTAAAAAGCTGTAAATTACTCTTTACATGAAATCATATAATATAAAGAAAAACAGAAAAAAATAGATAACAAAAATAGGCTAATACCCTAGCATTGAAACAAATAGCATTATATAATAGAGTCGTAATAAGGCTGAAAACAATTAACATAAATTACATATAACACAATTTTAATAATGTCAAATGCATTTTGTACAAGTTACATAATGTACATTTCCATAAAAATACTAGTCGATGACGTCACCGTATGACGTTACCTGTGAGAGAAACAGATACAGTTTTTACCATAGGCTATAGTATTACAGATGCTGTACATTAACGCTAAAATTAATTAAATCTGGTATAACATAATAAATAAATGAATGAATAAATAAAAATAGCCAGCAAAAGGAAAGGATCTGTGTACAAGACGTGCTGTCATGACAACGGATGCCCTTTCCTACGGCAGCACCTGTAAGAGTCCTTTTTTTTAATGGTCGAGTTCTCCAAAGTTACTTGTTATTGTCTTAATTTCCCCATATGTTTCGTCAGAATAAGCAGTATGATGTCTTTGGATGTGCTCGTAGCATGTGCTGTGCTGCAGGACCACGCTGATCAGCTGTCAGTGTTAGGAAACATTATAACGGGAGCGGAGACTGTGAGTAACGTTAACATCTTCAGTTATTGAAATCTCAGAATTGTTTTCAGTTTTCAGACACATCATTTGTAATGTTACTACTGCATAATTTGTGTTTGTGTTAAATTTATTTGTTGCTATGTTTAATACCTGCATGAAAAGGCAAAAGTAGCATTAGTGATACAATCAGCTTGTCGCTGCAGTAATGTTACCCTTAAGGGACATTTGTATCTTATTTACCTAAAAAAAGTCATACTAGTAGTAACTCAAAAGTACATATTACTATGGTACTAAAACGCACCTTTTAGGGGAACAAAGTTGCGGCCCCAGTTATGCTGTTGTACCCTTACAGTTATTATTGCACATTTTATTTCTTACAGTGTAAGTTAGTTTATGTTTGATAGGCGTAATTCTTATCTTGCTGCAGTATGGTCAGTTTATTTACCTATATTTTAGGTGGATTGTACCAATTAAGCAGTTTATGGGTAATCAAGGATTTATTGACCAAGGTGTTATTTTAATTTGTGTTGTGTTAAAGGGACAATGTGTAAGAATTTCTCAGATCTAGTGTTGAAAATGTATTTTGGATTCAAACGAATTGTGCTCTCCAGCGCCTCGCTTTTTCAAATGCGCGTTGCACCTATGTAGCCATTATGACAGGATGTCTTCTGATAGCACTTCGTCGAGTGTTCCTTAAGGTGAACAGGTTTGTTATTTAAAACAAACAGCAACTTGACACAATGAACAAACAAATGTAGAACAAACAAATTGCGTTTGTGATTCTCCTGTTTGAACTCGTTTATCAAAATTAACAAATCTTTTTTCGTGTCATTTGGTTCATTCAACAAACGAAATGAACGAATTGACTCGGAAAAAGATTTGTTCATTTTGATGAACGGGTTCGAACAGAGCACAGAACATAGCAAGGCGAGGCGACCATTGAGCTTATAAAACTTAAACTTTTTTTTTTTTAAATGAGCAATCGTTTTGCTTGATAAGAGCCTTATTCATAGTCTGGAATCGTTTAAAGCCCTTTGAACAGTTTGAAGTTTGCACTGAAACTGTCTTTTGGACCTTGAACTGTCTGGTTACTAGTAAAGTGCATTAGGCTATATGGAGAAAAATCCTGGAATATTTTCATCAAAAACCTTCATTTCTTTTTGACTGAAGAAAGAATGACATGGGCGTGAGTCAATTATCAGCAAAAGTTGTTTTAAAAGTGAACTACTCATTTAATGACTGTGAAAAACATGAAAAATTCTAATAAGTAGTTATGCCTCCTTTATTCGTTATATTATAATTTTCTGAAGTACGTGCATTGCTAGATATCATCATCAACTTTTAACTATAAATGTTCATCTGGCTATAAAATAAAGTACACAACCAAACAATGAAAAAAGCTTGTAATTAAGACTGTAACATTAACATTATTGGATAATCGTCAGGGTCTCCGGAGTGTGTTAAGTGTGGTAATTGTAAGTATTCCTAGATTGTGTTTGGTTGCTTGATGTCCTGGTGTTCACAGGCAGGTCACATACCGTACATAGCAGGGCCACATCATGTGCCACATGTGTGTGTTGGTGATGAGCATTTTTGTTTTGCATGATGACAAGAGTGAATGATGTAGCTAGTGGTGCAGAACAGGTTTTTAAATTAAATGCTCTCATTAAATTGTTAAAATTTTGTATTTTACATGGTTTTCTTTTATTTAATTTCTATTGAATCTTAAATAGCACATGCAATGGTCTGAAATGAATAGCTTGTGGCATAAATGTCAGCAAATTAACAAAACATGCTCCCAAAATATGCTATGGGGCAAAAACACCCCAAAAATGAGTTGCTGTTTATATTCATAACACAATAGTTAAGTAATATCACACAAACAGGGCTGCCCCCCCTTCCCCTCGGCAGAATCTCCATCACCAGTTTGAAGTGTGTTTGTAAGTGGACTAGGAAAAGTTCATATGGACAGACCCTCGACCCCTCCTTTTTGACTAAGGGTTTGAGTCTACTCATTTACACTTCAGGCAGCTCAATATACCACTATGCAACACAATTGTGATGTCAAAGCAAATTGCACTTAATTTACCCTGGCCCCACACATGTTTGGTGGTGTGGTTGCTAGCCAACATGCACGCACAAAGAAGATGACTCAGAGTAGAAATGATCTCTGGTTACCTCATGTAACCTTGGTTCCCTGAGAGGAGCGAACGAGACATTGTGTCTGACAAAATGTGTAAACACCTTTTTTCAGAGAATACTGAAGACCTATTTAATCTCGCAGACAAGAATTCGCCTATAAGGTTGTGCTGAACGTCATTCCCTCAGACTCTTTGGACTTAAGCAGCTGGCAACGTCTCTGATCTTTGTAACACAGTAGCTTACACAATGTCTCATGCCCTTCGGAACCGAGGTTACGTTTGGTAACCAGAGATTTTCTCTTTTGAATTTGGTTCACTCGACATTGCATCAGTAGCTGACTCTATGGGGATCTTATTAAATCCCTCCGTGTTAGTGAGGGTACAGCTCAGCTGCAAGCACTGACCTTTGTTAAAAAGTGCTTCATGCAACAGAAGACTTCATTGCACAAACATTAGACTGATACAAACACATTGCAGATTAATAAGAAGACGGACTCGCCAGTGTCCTTGATTTAAACATACCCATCTGGGAATCAACTGTTGACTGCTGAATGTTATCCTGCAGGCCTTAGATGGCAATATAGGCCACAACTTCCAAGGAAGATGGTGCAACAAGCAACTAATTTAGAATGCATGTGTGACTGAACTGGCTCTGGCCAGTGGAGAAAACATCATCAAGTGAGATCACATTATGAGCTTTGGGGACTCCACTTCATGAGCTCTTTTGAGATAGAACGAGAAAAGAAAGGGAGAAATCCATCTGCTCGCTCTCCATAGCTTAAAGCTCCACATTGAATTCCCAAGATATTGGCTCATGAAGCACCCCAGGAACCAGAATACAAGAGTGTTGGAGGCCTTTTCTTTAAAGTAATTCTTGAGCAAAGCACTTTCATTTTAAAATGGTTATTGAGGCCAATTTGATGAGCAGTTAATTCCTATGCACATGACACACTTATGTTTTGTAATAAAATGAGGACACAGCGGCAAACACTTATGAAATGCCATCTTGTTTCAACATGAGAAAAAGAAGCTCAAGAACTCAATATCCAATAATTTATTCAAATCAAAAAGCAGAGGCTAGATAAATCTTAAAGTGATGGCTCATTCGTTTGAGTCACTGTTCATGTGGTCCCAGGGAGGCCAGTACTTGCACCATCATCCGATATGTTTCTATTTCTATACAATCCCTTTTTGAATTTGGCACATGCGTAAGGGATAATCCATGGCTAGCTGTGAATGATACGATTTTAATGCATGTTCGTGCGTTAAAATCGTTTAATGCACAGCTAGCTGTGGATTATCCCAATTATACCATGGTCATTTGCCAGCATTGACAATTGACAAATTGATGTTTGCCCTGCAATATTTGACCGGGAGGGTAACATTGATGGTTATTTTCATCAGTCAGGGTTTGTTAGATCTAGCATTCTGTCTGCTTTCAATCAGACACAGAGATAAACAGCCCATTCTCATCTCAAGGCATCATATACTGACGCTTTTGACGTTTCAGACGGAGATATATATGGGCCAGAAGGCGCCTCCTAGTGGTCTAACCCTAACCCTACCCCAGAACTAAACCTACCCATAACCGAACAAAGCTCTGTACGTGTTAAATTGACGTTAATGGGTGCCATGTGTGTTGGATTTAGATGCAATTTCAAAAGCGTCGCCATATGATGCTCTAGGATGAGAACGTGTTGGAGATAAAGTAGTATGTAAGATTACATTATTATTGTGTTTTTTTTTTCTTTTTCTTTTTTAAATTCATGTGGACTAATCAGAGATCCCTGTACTGTCCCTACACTGGTTTGGCTTCCCTCCCTTCCACATTGCTTCTGCTGTAATGGCAACCTGACCCCCTGTTTGTCTTGTGTGTCCAAGATTGTAGGCCTTCACATGTTCATGTACATTAATATCTTAGTTACAGTACTTGTGTACTTCCAGAAACAGTGTTTTACGACAAGATATGATATCTGAAAGTGCTTACGTCACTGTCTTTGTTCTAAAGGTGTCAAAAAACCACACCTCATATCTATTATAATCTATTTTCGACTTCTAACTGGTTATACGGACCTAGCCGTTACACCAACTATGACACAATAGATAAGTCAGTTTGACCTTTTCATATCAGACCTACATTAGTTTAGGAGGAAGTGTGCTCTATTCTACATGTAGCATATTCGTTGCTCTTATTTTGCTCTTTACTTCTGATTATTCGTCTGCATTTCTCTTTTACCTCAAATTTCATATCTTATTTCTTTTGGGTCCACAATCCCAATATTCATCTTTTAGATACAATACTTTGGATTTATTTATAAAGTATTGAATACGATATATATATTTTTGTTTAAACCTATTTGCCATTACAGTTTTCATATTGGCTTGGCCTTATTCATTTGTTGTCTTTGTAATTTTATATTTTTTGCTTAATAGATGTGCTATTCCTTATTCAAATTTGATCTTTGACATATTCATTGCTTGCCTGGATCTCATTGCATAGTTATTAGATTCCACTGTTTTGGACTGCCACATTGAACTTGAGAACACAAAATGGCACACCTGATGTACCTGTGATAAAAAAAGAAAGGTGTTGTGTTCTTATAATACAAATAATTAACCAAACTGAGTAACCAAATATCGCGATCTCAGCAAGTTCCATTATAATCAGTGAAGCTGTCTACACTGCTGTGAGCATGCAGAACTCAGCACTGAACTCTGGCGTTTTGAGCAGCGAGTAGGTTCTAACTTAAACACCCCTGATCGGCAATTGCGTTCAAGAGATTTGCTCAACATTGTAAAAACACCATTGTACATGGAAACCTTTGACGTTCTTCAGAGCACAAACACATATACGGACAGGACCTTTTGCCAAACCGCCAATATGCTATTATTACACTTTTTCCTCTGAAAAACAATCCAAAGCAGCAGCAGACAGTGATTTGACTGAGACAATAGCTGGGTTTCAGTCTGACGCACGGAATTCAGATGGAGGGCAGGGAGTGAAGAGCGCAATGGATGAGATGGAGGAAAGTTCGTTCTGTACTACTTTACACGCTATTAGAGAAAGATATAAACAAAAAATCAAACACATGTTGGACGTGATCCTTACGTTATGAAGAGGAGCGATTTTTCAACTGAATAAATATTTTCCTGCCATTGAGGCGGTAGATATCAGCAACGAGGTAGTTTTACAGGCATACTTTGACTTTACAAAGTTTGGAAATGTTACACATTACACAAACATAGCCACTTAAGTTGTATTAACTCATCTTTTACGATGTGATCACTGCACACACGAGCATTTTCCCATTCAGCCCCTCCCGACCACAAACGTATGTTTGCAAGCTGTTTTTTCAGAGATTTTCGGTCAATTTTTTGCATTTTCCCCGTTTTGAACAACAACTTTTGGTACACGATAAAAACTCCTTGTGGTTTGATCGATTCAAGTAACCATAAACGACGCAAAACAGGCATTTTGAGTTTGATATAGTGCTTTCTAAATGGAGCAAATCACTTCCTGCCCTCCATTTGTATTTCGCGCCATGGCAATGCAGTGGCATGACGTCATATGAAAACAAGCTATTGACCTATGGCTAAGCCACGCCCCCTCCACTCACTCGGACACACAGTCAATATTCGGGCACAGGCGCTATGGCAGCTGTCACAGTAGGAGATATTTTACAGGAGGCAATCAATGATTTTTGGAGATTTAAAGATTATATATCATCTCCAAGTCACCTAAAGGGTCTTAACTATGCATTGGGGGGTTATATTAATAATTTTATTGTTGAGAAGGCCGATGAAAAGCTTCAGTTCCAGGCAAGAATTTACAGGTCACAGTGTAAACGTGATAAACCATAAATATCATTGCCATCACCGTTTGGTGCTACAGTATTTACATGAATCATTCAGCACAACATTGATAACATTTAGTTATCTCAACTGATTCGTTAATGAAGCTAAGTGACATGATGTACAACGCAGCTAGACAGCCCATTCTCACCCCCAAGGCGTCACTTAACTGACGCCTTGGGAAGCATTTGGACATGCTTCAATATCTGACGCTTTAGGCGCCCTTTAGCGTCAGTAAGATGACGCCCTAGGATCGCGTGTACCCTACCCCCACCCCACACCTAAACCTAACCGCGTCCTCTAGCAGACGCTTTCCTTTAGCGTCAGTTAGATGACGCCGTAGGATCGCGTCATGTAACTGACGCTAAAGGGCGCCTAAAACGTCAAATATTGAAGCATGGTCAAAGGTGACGCCTTGGGGTGAGAATGCGTTGAGCTAGAAGCTAACGTTAACATTTTGTAATGTAGGCTAACGTTAGCCTAACGTTACATTAGAGATGTTAAAGGTAACGTTCAAATGTGTTGTTGACTTAACTTAGAACCGATGTAGACATCCTTGTTGGTGTTGTGGTCAACTGTATAGCTTATTCGCATTACTTAATCTAGAGCAGACACTTATCTCGCTTGAGATGTGGTTTGGGAAAGGGTAAAAAAATGCACACCGTTTGACCATTTTAAACTTAAAATGACAAGAAAAACGAATGAAAACTGACTAACTGCAATGCATTCCAATAGACGTGAAGCAGAGAATTTCCGAGTGTATAAGGTTAGCTATGCGCACTGTGATTGGCTCATCGCGTTTGGGGGTGTGGCTTAGCCATAGGTCAATACAACGCTTGTCTCAAGTGAGGTGAAGGCTAAGCCTCGCCCAGCCCAACACATGCTTCACATATGATTATTTATATTAATTAATTTTTTTGTTTTAATGAAACTGTTGGCTGACAATAAATCACAATTAAACAAATCTAAATTGTCAAAGTATTTGTATCCCATGTATTTTTAAAATGATTTGAGAGTATAGGCATTGGTCCACTATTTCACCAAAGTCCACTCACTTTACAATTTCTGCCCTCTCCACTGGTTTAAAGTAGCAACAAATCAAAATTGTCTTTAAAATTTTAGTCTGCTTATTTTTAAACAGCAAAGTTGTTAAAGTTGCAACAGAATTGTTAGTTTAAACTTTGAATTAGATTTCAACTTGTTGTACATACTTTTGGTTAGACTTTTTATAATAGTTGTATAACTGACTGGTTACATTTTAAAAAAATATGTCCAGGTCACATTTTACCCCATAGATAATAAAGTAATGTATTTAATATATCAAAATTACAGCAAACAATACTGCAACTATTGGTGGTAAAATGTGTTAAATTGTCATGGAAATTATTTATTTAATATGATGTTAACCTAGACATGTTCTTGAGAAGTTTCATGAGATTTACCCAACTTGTTGCACATTTCACCTTGTGCAATTTGAAGTCAAGTGTATTGATCACTTGACTTGATCAATGGAGTATGGAGTTCCTTGTATGGTTTTATTGCCAGATCACCACACGATAGTTAAAACACTTCATTGTCCGCATGCCATCATTGCTGTTTTATCTTCCATTCATGTTTTTCTCCGCTTTTAGCAGCAAAGGACCGAACTGCACCTAAAAACAGCTCAACAGATGGTTGGGAGCAGTTTGTCTGATTTCACAGGAAAATTACACAAATCCCAAAAGCAAATAAGTATTCAGGAGAGTCTACTTACTTCTGACATCCTGGCCAAAGTGCAGAGAGACAGGTATGCATGCACACTTCTCTAAAGTATAGGATGTTATTTGATATAAATGGTATAGGGATGCATTATATTGTATGTAATTAACAGTTTTAGCTAGTTTTAAAAATTGTAAATGTATCATTGTATATTGCTTTACTGATTTGAGCATTTCTTAATGTTTCATAAACCATTTCAACATCATGTTTGATCCCATAGGCAGTTTATGTCAGACGTGATAAATGAGTTAATGGTCGAGCTGCAGAAGAAAAACACTTTTCAAAGTCTCTTGTCAGCAGTAGGAGAGGACCGGAAGAAGAAAGTCCAACTTCTGGACATAATAAACAGGTCTTAACAGGAACTGACAAATTATTTTCCCTAAAATATCATGTACTGTACCTCAAACAGTGAACATACACCACATTTTACACTACACCTGTAGGGAGGAAGAGGGTCGTCTCAGGAATAAAGCACTGCAAAAACAGTTACTTGACATTCGCAAGCAAAAAATAGAGGAGTGCGAGGTAATCATCTGTGTCATTTTCCATAGAATGTTTTTTTTATTAATTCATATTTAATTTTACTCAAGTTTTGATTTTACTGTGCATATTTCACTTGTGTTTGTAAAGCATGAAGTGTGCTTAAGTTTCATGACAACAAAAGCTATGTTTCCATCCACCTATTTTTAATGCACATTTTGGGATATTGTATCCAAAACTGCTGGATGAAAACGCCAAGATGCGCATAAATACTAAAAATGCTCATGCTGCTGCTGCTGCATATGTAACATACAATGTTTAACCTCATAGCAGATCTTGACTATACAGGTGGAGCTTGGAAAGGTGGGTGGTTTTTGAAAGTGCGCTGCAGATTTCTAACAGCAATACTACCGAGATTTGTTTGAATGTTGAGTCGCAGCTCATTGGCCACTGATGCAACAACAACCAATCAGCTGTGCTTTGTAGTGATGTGCTGTGGAAATAATGAGCTGTGTTTATTGCAGCACTGAGAGGACTACAGACACTCAATTTCTATACTTTCTTTTTCAGAGTACTTAAATTGTAATTATGTATTGGTATACATAGACAGTTTAAACAAATTTGGGAATAGTTTTTTTTTTACAAAATTTTTACCTATCCCACCTTTAAATGTTGATTCCAGATGCATTCTGAAAGCGCGCTGCAGACTGCTATCAGCAACACTACCGGTATTTATTTGAATGTTGAGCCGCAGCTAGGTAATGACATTTTTTTGCCAGTTTATCAGCAAAAGCAAATGTTTTATGCAATATTCCAATTTAAGTTAAATTCACAACCTTTGGATGGAAACATAGCTAATGTCACAATGCAAAGAATCTTAATTGTTACACAAAAGTACTGTGTCATCTTTACTTTGGAACTTTGGTCTAAAATGTTGGACAAATACACATGTGACTTGCAGTCTGGCTAAAAATATATATATATATATATATATTTTCTTCCCAGAAGCTTAATGAGTTGTTGGAATACCTGAGGATGCAGGTAGAGAACATGAGGGTGAGGACAAACCGACAAGAGAAATTTGTGAAGAGATGTGCCGAACAGCTAGTCTGCCAAGGGCTGAATCTCAACAGTCACAAAGAGAAAGAACTGGAAGATGAAATTGGGGTGTGTGTTTGACAACTTGTTCTGCAACCACTTTGTTGCATCATTTTTACATACTAGAATCCACATACCACTAGCAGGCAACTACTTATCAAAGTCCTAGTGATAACCCAGAATATTTATCCATCATTTTAAAGGGGACATCTCATGCAAAATCCACTTTTTTTAGCCCTTAAATGCATTTTGTTGTATATTTGGAGTGTTTATAAGTACAGAAAAGAATGGAATTATTCTCTTCAGGTGCTTCGTTTAGATCTTTATATTCTGTTTTGGTCATATTTTTCAACCTGTTCAGATTTTTCTGTTCTCTATGACGTTTTTTGAACTATCACGTCACCGTATTTGCAGCGGAACTGACAAATAAGGACATTGACTACCGGCCCAACACTTCGAGCAATCCGCCATTATTATTTCTCGCTCCGATTTTGTAGTCCAAGCTCAATGATGCAGAAGTTACAAGAGTGCAAGTCAAAATGTTCGGTTCTTGGATGTAGAGACCTGAAGCACTTCAAGGATTCCCAACAACCTCCGCCAGTATAAAGAAGGGTTTGCCGATCGACTCCGTCTGAATGAGGGGTAAATTCCTTCTATCATTTAGCTGCTGTGTTTTCTTATGCTTTTCTACACGTAAGTTATTATATTATTATTAATACAGATTTTTAGTGGTAAGATTGGACCGTAGTCATTTATCTTGTCAGTGTGCTTGTTTTAACAAGAGAAATAGTCGACTTTCACTAATAACACAACATAGTTAACTTAACGTTACATACCCCTGCATCCATATGAAGATGTTGTTCAGCAGGTTCGTCGTCGTCTTTTTCAAATCGCTCGCTCTGGCTTGAATATGTAAGGCTTGATGGACAAGTCTTCCGTTGTTGACATTTTGTTAACGAGTGACTAAAAATGTTCTTTGAAGCTATATATAATCGTATATCTCTTATCAAACTACAATAATGGCCGAACGCGGGGAGTTGAACCGAGTGTGAACTCAGCGACCTGGAGAGCGGGCGGGGAAAGACGCAACTCCATTTTATTTAAAGGGGCCGCTTTGAAACGAGTCGCTCACAGACGCACATCAGAAAAGGGGTAGAAAATGGGCCTGTGGAGCTATAATAATGAGGAATTCAGACCCAAGCATTGCAGTTATGCTTTATATAGACCACAAATGTATGATTTATAAGTAAAAATGATTGATTTAAAAGCATGATATGTACCCTTTAAGTTGTAACACAAATGAAGAATGTTGGTGTACAGACAACATCTGACCCCACTTACTTTAATTTTATGGACAAAAAGCACTGAGGTATTTTTTAGAACGTCTTAATTTTAAAGTTAACTATCCCTTTAGAATATAAAATATCACACTTTCTACACTTTCTAAACATCTACACTTTATTTTACAGTATGTGTACTGGTATTATAAGGTAGGCTAACTACACCTGTTAAAGGGATACTCCACTTTTTTGGAAATGGGGTCATTTTACAACTCCCCCATTTTACAACTCCAGCACTTTTAGCATAGCTTAGCATACATCATTGAAGTGCACAAGACCATTAGCAGTTCTCCGTAAAAAATTACCAAAGTGTTGCGATATTTTTCCTATTTAAAACTTGACTCTTCTGTTGTTACATTGTGCACTAAGACAGACGGAAAATGTAAAGTTGCGATTTTCTAGGCTGATATGCAGGGAACTATACTCTCATTCCTGCGTAATAATCAAGAAACTTTACTGCCTTACCATAAGTGCAGCAGACGCGATGACTACACAAACTTAGTCCCGGTCACGTTGGAAGCTGGGCACTATTTTCAGGCGCTGTGTCATAACATTGCGCCTGCTGCACTCATTGTACGGCAGTGAAGTTTCCTGATTATTACACAGGAATGAGAGAATGGTTCCTAGTCATATTAGCCTAGAAAATCGACTTTACATTTTCCATCGGTCTTAAAGGGTTAGTTCACCCAAAAATGTGTATATAATATAAAATATATAATATTTCAATATTTGGAAGAATGTTTTAATCAAACAGATCTCATTCCCCACTGAGGGTGAGTAAATACTGGCAGAATTTTCATTTTTGGGTGAACTAACCCTTTAATGCATGATGTAACTACAGAAGAGTCAAGTTTTAAATAGGAAAAATATCGAAACACTTTGGTCATTTTTTTTTTAGAAATGGTCTTGTGAACTTCAATGATGTATGCTAAACTATGCTAAAAGTAGTACCGCCAGAACTGGAGATCGGCTGAATGGATTCAAAAGCGGTAAAACTCAACAGTTTAACTCTGGGGGAGTTGTAAAGTGAGCCTATTTCCAAAAAAAAGAGAAAAAAAAAAAACGTGAAGTACCCCTTTAAGGTTAGGTTTATGGATAGGTTCCATTGTAATTGTAATTGCTATAATATGCGTAACAGGACTGTAAAATAAAGTGCTACCAATGTAACTTTTTAGACTTTCAGACAAGCCAACATTTAATTAATAATGTTTATGCAGGGTTGTGTGGTTGAATGTAGTGCATTTGAGCTACTCCTCTTTATGCTTTTACTAAATATTGAGGAACAAAGAAAGTTCATTTAGGAACAATGCCGTTTTCGGTAGCTACCCAACTATTTTAACTGCCACTGCCATTTTGGTCATTTTTACGTCAATACTGTCTAATGACAGATCGAACACGCAATTTCAGTCAATTTCGTGTTAATCTTGAGTACCTATTGCTCATATCTCCAAAAGTCTTTAGTTGTATTATATTTATAAAAGAAAGGACCGAGTCTTTCCGGAAAAAAAAAATAAAAAAACGAACGGTTGGAGGCGTGCTGTGTGGGCGGAGCTAAATAATCACGAGCGCACAAAGCTTTTGCGTTGAGAGCGTCTGGACATCCCAAAACAAACCTTGGCTAACAATCAGATTCAGCCATACATTTTTGATCCCGATTCGATCAGATGCCGCGGCTGAAATTGAAGACGAGCAGCAGCAACGACTACAGCAGGATGTCTCTGTGGTGTGTACTGGAACTGTATTGAGATTGAGGAGTTGACCTCATGGTACAGAGCCCTCCCCTCTCCGCCATGTTGGTAGGATTCTGATTCTGTATCCTCTGTGAAGGCGTTGCCTCTGGCAACCGATAGCGTCTCCTACCATCATGGCCGACCGGCTCACCTACAGTGGTCAGCTAAACAAATGTATTTAAAGACATTCTTTAACAAATCCTATGCAGCGCTGCCGATGATTCCCTGTTGAAGTGCGTTGATGTGCGCGGTCTCGCTCTCCTCTGGTCAATGTGTGCGCGGGAGCACTTTTCCGTTCCACTCTCGTCTACGTCATTAGATTCACGATTAAAATAAAATAAAATAAAACAGCACAAACTTGTACCAATCAGGAAGTAAGATTTTCGGCACAAAAATTCACCATTATTCGTCCAAAATATATATAACTTTGACCATGTTTAGCATGATAATCCATCTCTTTAGCACTGTAAACAACTCTGAATACATGACACACCATTGTACCCCCCCCCCCCTTTTGAATTCCAATAATTCTGATATCCAAGCATACTGTAAAACCACCCAAACATACTGTAAAAAGCATACCATTATTTTGATTTATATCTTCCACTTTTGGTTGCACTCCCAGATGCTGCAAGAGAGAATTGAGGAGGAAAAGAATGTTCACATGGAGATGGAGATCTTCCTAAAAAGACAACATACAGTGAGTGAAGCACAACTTAATTGTAACTTTATTCATAAAGCTGTGTAAAACAAACTAGATTTGTACTTGCAGGGATGTGCACCTCTAAGAACTGATTGTGCCCCAATTGGTATAGAGTAGGGTGTCCAGTCTTGCTCCTGGAGGGCCACTGTCCTGCAGAGTTTAGCTCCAAGCCTAATCAAGTAAATCAAGGTCTTCAGAATATTCCCGTAAATGCGAGTCATACATAAATGAAAAAGCGATGATGGCAAATGACGTCAACTTACGATCACATGAAACTTTTCAATGGCACAATGCAGAATGAAGGCTCAACTCAATGTATTGATGATTTTTAAAGATGTTAAAATATCCATTATATCCATTGCAAATCACACCGTTTTTACTTCCTTTTTCTGGATCAGAATGTCTACCTTGGGTTGTTTCACCAGTATAGCAACATTGTTTCGGCCCAGATCCAGCCCACATCTGGCACTTTTGGCATGCAGATCTGGCACACATGCAGCAATAACTGACGGCGCTTGGGTGGCCCACTCCTATTTGCCAGGTCTGGGCCACAAAATCTGTGTATATTAAACATGGAGTCATCTCAACCTTAATAAGCCTGTTAACAAACAGAATCACTGAAGGAAAGAACAGAATGGAAAAAGAGACGAGCAGAACAACTACAACTGACTTTAGACACAGTCTTAGATTAAATCACCTGAAGAGAAAAGAAGACTATAAATCTATGAAGATCTCAGCAGAGGAGGATTAAACAACTCCACAAACAGCATTACCAGCTTCACTTATTACTAACCAGACTGACTTTATTTCTGTCAGACTTCTACAGAAGATTTTATTGAGAATTAACAGAGGTTTAATTCTGTGTTTCATTTGAAGTCACCATAACATCAGAATCTCTGAAGGAGAAAATCGTAATTGGTTGCCATTATGGAGATCAGTGTTTGCTTTAGTTGGGCTCTTGAGCCTTAAGTCATTTATTTTAGAATTTGTTCGGCTATTGTACTTACTTATAACAGCCAATTGAACAAAGAGAAAAGGTGATTTGATGGTGTTCGCAGTTTAACATTGTCATTATTTCAGGATCATTTGACCTGAGTAGAGCCCAATTTCTGAGTTAAATTTACTTTTTGTTACAACACTGTCCTTGAAAATCATAATATTCTTAACTTTTACAATGTAATCCAAATAATTTCTTAACTTTATTTTAAAAAGGCATCAAGAATCAGCCTGTGAATCTCAATAATGGTGACAATTATAAAGCATTTTGCAGTGTATTCTGGATGCCACCAATCAAACCTCATTCATGGCTCCCATCATGCATTGCTGTATGAATAATTAAGGAGCTTATGTTCAGAGTTAATCTTTTTGTCACCATTGTTGAGATTCATAGGCTAATTCTTGATGTCTGTATGTGCCTATCTGAAATATTTTTAAGGGTTTTTTTTTGCAATTGATTTGATCATTTGGATTTAATAGAAAAGGCATCCACAACAACAGTGCTGCAATAATATCCATAAGATACAAAGCTTAACTCTGAAATTATACACTCAGTGACTCAGGCCAATTATTGATTATGTTATAACACACTCAACACCATCAAATCACCTTTTCTCTTTGTTCATTTGGCTGTTATAACAGAAGTAGAATAGCCGAACAAATTCGAAATTAAATGACTTTAGGCTCAAGAGCACAACAAAAGCAAACACTATTCTCCATAATGGTAACCAATTACGATTTTCTCCTTCAGTGATTCTGATGTTATGGTGACTTCAGAGTTAAGCCTCTGTTAATTCTCAATAAAATCTTCTGTAGAAGTCTGACAGAAAAAAAGGCAGTCTGGTTAGTAATATGTAATGCTGTTTGTGGAGTTGTTTAATCCTCCTCTACTGAGATCTTCAGATTTAATGTCTTCTTTTCTCTTCAGGTGATTTAATCTAAGACTGTGTCTAAAGTCAGTTGTAGTTGTTCTGCTCGTCTCTTTTTCCATTCTGTTCTTTCCTTCAGTGATTCTGTTTGTTAACAGGCTTATTAAGGTTGAGATTATTCCATGTTTAATATACACCGATTTTGTGGCTCAGATAAAGTCCAGTTCTGGCTCTTGGCTTGCTCTTGGCTGACATATGGCATTGATATGGCCTGCTTGTGGCCCAGATCTGGCAAACAGGATTGGGCCACCCAAGCGCCGTCAGTCATTGCTGCATGTGGACCAGATCTGCATGCCAAAAGTGCTAGATGTGGGCCGGATCTGGGCCGAAACAATGTTGCTATTTGGGGTGTAAATGCAGATTTCAGATATGTGTCACTTTTAAAAGAAGATGTACGATGTTCATCAAAAAAATGTTTTGTTTAAGCCTATTCTGATGCAAATACATCAGGATTAATTGCTGTCACTAAACTGTGTGCCTAAAAGAACTTAGGGGAAAAGTTCCAGTTTTGGATCCAGCGGTATGAAAAAGACATGAAGGAGAAGGAGCAAGAGATCACCGCTCTAAAGAATAAAAGAAACAACTGCCTGGCACGAATTGACGAGCTGTCCAAAAAGGTTTTTATATGAAAAGTTACCATTACATTACATGTTAACTGTAACCTGATTTGCATTCCTTTTAAAATTCCTTTTGAGAGAGTCAATATCAATAAGCTGCAAAAAACTTGTTATACCTCAGTGCAGAAACATGGAAGAGGTTATCACTGAGGACAGGATGGAGAAGGAACGTTTGCGTGCACAGCTGGAGAAAGAGCAGAAGGAGATAGATGCAGCAACTAAGGTAACATATAGCTTCATTCTAGGAAAAGTAGGTAAAATGATAACTATGAGAAGATGTATAATTTCATTAACTCATTACTTTTGAAGCAGGGGCTTTTATTTTCGGGGCCTTAATGGAACTGATACCTAAATGCACTTTGTGTTTGGTGGTTTTTTTTTGTTTGTTTTTTTGTTTTTTGTGCAACTTCAATGAGTATAATTCAGAGTTTAAACGAGAATTCCAATTTTAATCCCTGAATTTGAGTTTAATTTGAATTGAGGTATAGGTATGGGTAAGAGCAAACACAATTGACCATTTGCAAAGACCCGCCCCCTTTAGTTACTGTTGCAATCTATGTCTGACAGGCCACGCAGCTCTCATGCCAAACCATGTTCTCACACATGAAAAAATACATCGCAGAGCAAATAGGACACTGAAAACGCACTGACAGACAGGACAGAGCAGCATACTTTTGATATGAAACAAAGTCTCAATTTTTTTAATTTTATATAGAAATTTTAACAATAAATACCGTTTTGTGGCATGACAGATTCGCTGTAGCTACTCAGTTAAAGCTGCTCATGAACCGATCACAATATATACACACACACATAGACAATATATATCTATATATATCTATATATATATATATGAAGAGTTCAGATGCAAAAGCCTCTATGTGCCATTTGAAATTTTCTTCTAGAACGATCATTTTTATCAAGCTTGTATATTTAAGTCCAGTGATTTCACTTAAATGGCAATGATAATTACCTATTAATTGTTATTTAAGTGAAATTACTGAACTTAAATATACAAGTTTGATAAAAATCATCATTAAAGAAGAAAATTTCAAATGGCATTTAGAGGCTTTTGCATCTGAACTCTTCATATATATATATACAGTATTCGGAAAGGCACAAATAACTTTTTTTTTTTTTACGAATACTTATTTCGAATACGGGTTTCAGAGGCAGTTTATAACTTTTGGGAAGCGGAGTTTGATCGGGAGATTATTCCATGTTCGCACGTCAGAGGTGCCCTAATGTGCTAGCTGTGCAGCTGCAAATGTGTTTTACACTTAGGCCGTGCGTTTTTAGCCAGCTGAAAACGCCAGACGCTCCGCTGAAGACTGCTCTGCTGTTTTTTTTTCCATTGAGACATGTCGTTGCTATGATACAGAATATCCGCAGCACAGTTTACTTGTAACTGATTTCGCAGATAATTTGTTTCATACCAAAAATCTATTTTTCATCCATTTTGTTGGGTTAGCTCGGTTGGTTGATGTCGTTGTACTGAAAGAATGCTGTGACAGTTGGTCGGTGTGGTATTAGTCCCGCCCCTCCTCCACTGTGATTGGACGGCTGGGTAAGAAGTGACAGTGATGAGCGCTGCGTTTTATCCAAAGTTGAACATTTTTCAACACTCGGCGACCAGTAAAAAAATGCCCGGCGCTCGGCGCTTCAGCGTGACAAAAACGCTCAGTGCCTCGTTGCGGACATGGCGTTTAAAAAACGCGGCGCTCCCATTGAACACAAATGAAAACGTACGCCAGGCGCGTGGAAAAACGCTTTGGTGGACACACGGCTTTTCAGTAAACTCTGAACTCCTTAGGCTTCTGTAAATCGAGGAAAAGGAAGCTTTTATGTAAAATGCATTTGCAGCTGCACAGCTAGCACATTGAGCATCTGGCTGGGCGCCTCTGACGTGCGACCAATGAGCTAGCCCTATGTCATTACATGTCAGAACCCAACAAGGGGGCGTGACCATACTCAAATACAAATACTTTTCCCCCCTCAACAAATACAAATACAGATACAAATACCAGCTGCTTTGCACAACCCTAATAATATATATATACTATGTATATATATATATATATATATATATATATATATATTAGGGATGCACCGATCCACATTTTTTCACTTCTGATCCGATCCCGATACCTGACTTTGGATATCGGCCGATACCGATACTTTTCCGATACCAGCGCTGTGTTTGCTTTAATATTATTGAAAAAAAAAAAAAAAACGTTTTGGTGGGCACGGCCTTAGAGTTAGACTGTTTGTTTTTAAAACTTTATGGTTATGGTTATGATTATCATTATCGTTCATGGTGTAAACAAGCCTTTAGACTAAGAAATCTTTTTTTATTGCCTTATTGTGGTATTTATTTCCTTACTTCAGTAAAACATTTTTCTATTTTTATTATTTCCTATATTTGACACCCAGATTTCAGCTCATTTTTAAGGCTTTCTTTTTTTTGTAAATTCTGAATTCAGTCAAATCCTTTTGTGATAAGTAAAGGTATTAAATTCCATGTCAGCACATTAAGCTGTTGACATGTTACACAACAATGCTTTGAACATTTCAAAAAGCATTTATACTTCAATCATAAAACTAATAACAATAAAGATAAAAATCTTTGCCACTATAGTTGCCTACTCACTTTTGGTGCTAGCTAAAAACAGAATCATCCACCCAAATTTTCAAAACATAGGTATGTCTATTCCCTAATATACTTAATCCTCTTTTGTTTCATGAATCTCTTTTCAGATCCAGGCCTGGTGGCGGGGGACTCTCGTACGCAGAGGACTGGGATCACCTAAGAAAGCAACCAAATCCAAGTCTAAAGGTGGCAAAAAAGGCAAAAAGAAGAAGAAATGATGACTGTCACAATATACATTTAAACAAACAATAGATAATTAAAGTGATTGCCAGAGAATCAGCAGAGTGACAGTTTGATGATCAGAAATATAATTTGAGAGATGGGGATATTAACCGGATTATAGGTGAAAAATAACACTAAAAAGTCAAGCATATTAGTACAAACAGTTAAGCCCGAAACACACCAAGCCGACGGTCGGCATCGGCTTTTGTGCATCGGCCAACTAAGTTTCCTCGGTGTGTTCCGCAGAGAGATGTGAGTTTAAAATAATAAAAAAATATCTTTATTAAGAAGACAAACAATGAAAATAAAATTGATGAAATTATCTGGAACCTGTAAACTTGTGTGAGATGGCCTTTATAGAAAATAAAAAGTGGATCAAATCAGGATTACAATGAGATGGTCAGACTAGTTAAAGACACAAAGGGTGCAGAATGATGCTAGTTGAATGATGATAGTACTTGAATCAAGGCCAGTCTTATAATGAGCTTGGTCCACCCTAGCAAACAAACCCTGATCCAGTATGCTCAGTTTTATCGCCTACTGTTGCATCTTACACACAGTCTATATTGTGGATGCACACTGACCTGATTCCATTCTAAATTCTACATTTTTAATGTTCTGTAATTAGTGTTTGGGAATTGCTATCTGAATGGCGAAATCTGGTGGTCAGAATGTCATGCTTCAACAGCATTATTTTGGCTGTGGTGCTCACAATCAAATACAGCAAAATATTTGCAGAAAACTGAAACAATAAATAAAGATATAGGCTATACATTATAGAAAACATGAACCCCCTTATTTTTGTAAGGGATAATGTACATTCAGCCGGTTGCTATCGCAAAATTGTCATCATGCTCTACTTGCCGCATAAGTAAATAATTAGACATAAAATATTGATCTGAAATATTTTATCAGCTATTTAAACACAAAGCTTCCACAGAGAAAGCAGTTGCTAAACTAGTCCAAACTAGACAGACATTTACAATACAGAGATACAGTACCGTCATACCACTTATTACACAGTATTTCACCACATTAATAAAGCAGCCTATGGGGATAATATAGTAATAATATAATACTGATTTGAAAAGAAACTGTTTTAACCCTTTGGGGTTCGGTCCTGTTCGACCCAAATGGACCCGAAGAATTTATTTATTTATTTTTTTTAAATCACAGCTTCCTCAGAATGGTCCGAAATTTGGTGACTTTGTTGGTATTTGGTATTTGAACATCCAAAAAAATTGGGGACAGGATGTGAATAGTCTAAGTGGTTGTAAAAAAAATAGTCACACTTGGGCTGTTCGGGTCCATGGAAAATGAATGGGAAGTTGGCAAAAATGTGAAAATACTGAGCTTTTTTGTGCGTATGATCTACAAATCATCCACGATCTTAAAAAAAGCACACAACAGTGAAAGGGTGAATCTATAAAACATCAAGAGTGCAAAACAGACACATCCAGACACACACACACACACACACACACACACAAACGCACCAAAAATTCAGACTATACATGTGTTTTGCATTTTTAAAATGCTCAGTTTGTCCACCAGATGGTATCCATCTCATTTCAAAAAATTGCTTTTATGAGGCCTAGGCTTGACTCTAAAATGAAATACAGCTTTAACATTTTTTTTTTTTTTCAATATTTTTTTTTTCAATATTTTTTTTGTATTATGTTCAATGGGGGGAAATTTTGTCATAATTATTGCATTAATACTAATTATAAATTTGTTTTATTTTTGAAATTTTCTCAAAACACCAAAAAAGAAAAAATATTATAAAAAAACGAGTAAAAAAAAAAATCATGATTTTTTTTTTAAATATAAAAATGATAATGAATCCCACCCCGAGTGTGACTCTAAAACGAACAACCCCAGAGGGTTAAAATAACCCTCTGTTATTTATCTTAATCCATCAGTTTACAAAACAACTTTCAAAAAAATGGCAGCAGAAGATACATTTGTATGAAAGTAGAGAGCAAGTACGCAATACCTGATGACATAATTAAATAACTGTAAACAAAATATTGATTTGAGTTTTAATATTTTATTAGCTAACCAAACCACAAACCAAATGTAACAATTTTGAATGATGTATAACACTTATATATGTAAGATCAAAATCAACAGAGAATTTTGAGTCTATTTTACACTGATAAGAAAAAAAGCCAGCTGGTATCGCCGTCATGACCACCGACCCAAGAGGGTTAACCTGGAACAGCCTCTTCCGTATCTTCCTCACGCACTGTTAATTTCCGTAAATGTAAATCAATCGATCCATCAGATTCCATCAGCTCTTGAATATAGGATTTTACACTTGAATACTGTTCTTGCTCTAATTTAGATTATTTTTCTCCCTTCCGTCTCTTTTACTCGTTCTGCCCCTTGGTATTCTGATGACCAGAGCTTTAGGAAAGTAGCTTGCCATAAACTGTAGCACAAGTGATGTGACTCAGGTCTGAATGTATTTCATCAAACTTGGAAAGACCACCTGAGACCATCTCTTTATTTTTCTCAGAATATACAGTAGATAACAATCAAAGTAATCCTAGTCATCTCTTTCAAACTATAAACAGACTTCTCAAAGTTAATAGTGGTACCTTGCTGCCTGTCTCAAAAAAGTTGTGTAATGATTTTCTTTAGCTCTAAAATTGACAGTGTTTATAAAATTATTCATGCAACACCTGTTTCCGTTTCTGCACTATGCTTGTCTCTCTGGTACTACATCCTTTACTACCTTTTCTAACTAAGGGGGTGTAAGTTACCACTTGCTTACTTGATCCCTTCCCTACAAGCTCGTTCAAATCTTGTTTGGACTCACTGTGCCCAGCTGTTCTTGTCATTGATCCTCCCAGAGGTTTAGGTTCTGCGGTGATGGGAGAACAAACATCGTATGTTGACCTGATAAGGAAACTGATCCTACTCTGTTTTAATTTCTTGAAGCATCGATACATTTTGGTCTGACAATATATATATGGATGTATTTTAAAGCGCACAACAAAGGAGTAGAGAAACAAAAAAGTCTTTAGTTATATCCACCAAGTAAAACTAGAGAGTGTTGCTAGAGTGTATCGTAACACAACCACTAAACATCGACGAGGCCGAACAACAGTGAAACACTAAATGATTGACTGAAACAGGAGAGGTGTGTAAGACTAATTTACAAATGAGGAAACTGAATCAGGCAGGCAAAACAGAAACAGAATGCAGAGAAAACAAAAACAAAACATGTGACAGTTATATTGTAGCATCATTTCTAAAAATTATTTCAACTGCTGATTTCCCTGTAACCCCAAATAAAGAAAAGTTGGGACATTTTTGTAAAATGCAATACAAATCACAGGAATCTGTGATTTGTAAATTCTCTTACAAATGTATTCAACTGTCAAAAGTACAAAAAAAAAAAAAAAGTTTTTAATTATTTTACCGAACAACTTGTAAATATAAACCAACTTTATTGCATTTTACAAAATTTCCCAACTTTTCTTGATTTGTGGATGGGGGAAAACGCAGAACAGTTTATTTATTTTTTTATTTATCTTTTTATTTAACCAGGTAAAAACTCATTGAGATTAAAAATCTCTTTTACAAGAGAGACCTGGCCAAGATGCAGCATAAAATACATAAAAAGACACATTTCAACATATATAAAAACAAATAAAAACACATCAAATACACATAAATATCACAAAGACCCTGTGCTGAAAAAACAACAACAATTAATACAATTATTGTATGAACAGTTACACTGACCAATGTCCTCCTGCTCCCTATTCTTCAGCATTGAAACAAACTGTTTATAAGAAGTAAAAGTAGTCATTTTTAATGATTTCTGAAGAAGGTTCCAGGCTGAAGGTGCAGCAAACATAAAGGCTTTTTTTGCCTAATTCAGTTTTGACACGGGGGACCACCAAGTGTAATACATCATTTAAACGTAATCCATAATGGCTGTGATTTTTTGTTAAAAGGACACTCAAATAGGTAGGAGCTAGACCAAGAAGTACCTTATACTGTAAATGAAACAGCCAGTGAGTGTACCTTCTTGCATAAAGAGAGGGCCATTTAGCTTTATAATAAAGAATACAATGATGTGTCCTATAACCACAACCAGTGAAAAATCGTAATGCACAATGATACACTACATCCAGTTTTCTCAAACATTGGGCAGAAGCATCCATATATATCAAGTCACCATAGTCTAATATGGGAAGAAAAGTCCCATATTACGGGACTTTTCTTTACTGGGCAAATTGTATTTTGTAAATATAAACAAGCTTTATTGCATTTTACAAAATGTCAAAACTTTTCTTTATTTGTGTATTGGGAAAGACGCCAGATGCACTGTGTCACTAGGTGGCACACAAACACCATCCTACATCACAGATTTCAGATACCTTTTGACTTGTCTCCACACTGCTGTTGTAAAATACAATAGACTCTAAAGCAAAGTGTTAGAGCAGGGGTTTTCAAAGTGTGGAGTGCGCCTCCCCAAGGGTGCAAGAACGTGTCAGGGGAGGCGCACTCCACACTTTGAAAACCCCTGCTAACACTTTACCTTAGAGTCTATTGTGTTTTACAACAGCAGTGTGGAAATAATGGTGCGTTCACGTGATATGAAAAATATGATATTTTCCACCTGTGAACTGGTATTTACCAGTGTTGTGTTCAAGGGCTTTTGTTGTCGTAATGTGGTAATAAGATGGAGATCCAGACCTGTTGTTTTAGATCTAAAGGTCTAAAACTTTTTTTAGAAAAAAGGTCTAAAACTATTTTAGATTGCTTAAGTCATCTGCTAAAGCATGAAAATGATTTATCAAAACTCAAACTCAAAACTCTATGCTGTATATATTTTCTAGATCATGAACAGTACGTATTTTTACCATTCACGACTCTCGCGTTGCTCTCAGCCATTTTGAAAAGGTCAAAGGTTATCTCATCTCGGCAACTCGTGCATCAAAATATTCTACAAGCTGCCCAGTGGAAAATACCATGAGGGAGTGTTCTGGTGCATTCATGTGCTATGGTAATTATGGTAAATATCAAAAGCCGACGTGGAAAATGCACATGAACACCCCCTCATGTGTTATTTTCCACTGGGCAACTCGTAGAATATTTTGATGGACGAGTTGCCGAGATGAGATAACCTTTGACCATTTCAAAATGGCGGAGAGCACCGCGAGAGTCGTGAATGGTAAAAAAAATATATATACTATTCATGATCTAGAAAATATACAGCATATTATTTACGTTTTGAGTTTTGATAAATCACTTTCTTGCTGTTGCAGATGACTTAAGCAATTTAAAATAGTTTTAACAGGTCTGGATCTCCATCTTTTTACCACATAACGGCAACAAAAGCACTTGAACGCAACACACTGGTAAATACCAGTTCACAAGTGGAAAATATCCTATTTTCCATAGCACGTGAACGCAGCATCAATGTGCATTTTCCACATCAGATTTTGGTATTTACCATAAATACCATAGCACGTGAATGCAAGGTATTTGAAATGCTATTTCCCTACTTTTCTTGATTTGGGGTTACATGTGAGAATCAGGGAAATCAGCAGTTGAAATCAATTTAAATGTTAATATAACTGTCACATGTTTTGTTTTTGTTTTCTCTGTGTTCTGTTTCTTTTTTGCCTGCCTGGTTTAGTTTTCTTGTTTGTTAAAGGGTAACTAAACCCCTGGTCAGAGCCTGACTCTACCCACTGGCAATATTTGAAAAA